AAAGACGGACTCCGGCAGGTTGTTCCATTCCTTTGGATTTTCTTTGCAGCAAATGACTACATTTTCATATGTCTTTATACAATGAAATATTTGAAAAGTAGGGATGTCGCTTTTGCTTATTTTTTCTAAAATGATTTTAATTTTTATGTAAAGGAAACACACTATATTATGGCGCCAAGCATTGCTTAAAATGCAATAAAAGTAGATGCAAAGTAGATGAAGGTAGAAGAAGTAGTGTGTGGATAAGCCGTATAGCTCAGTGGCTAGATCGTCGGGCGCGTATCCCGAAGACTCGGGTTCGATTCCCACAGTGGGCAAAAACTTCTTGTTACTTTTTTCTACAAATTTTAATGTTTAATTTTAAGCGCGGAGATTAGCAATTTTAAATTTACCTATATTTTCAAATTATTTAACTAAACCGTTATCAATTGGACTTAATTTCCTTTTCACAAACAAAATGCAGGTTCCAATCCTCGTAGCGGTAAAAACTCTTCGTCTATTATTAAAATCAAAAAAAATCAAATCAAAAATATATTTATTCAAATAGACGCTTGCGCGCTCTTATGAATCGTCAAATTTTACATCAAAGATTATGTATATAGGTTCGTAAGGTACCACCGGTTCGGAAAGCGGTTTCTATTGAGAAGAGACCGGCAAGAAACTCAACAGTTGCTCTTTTTCAAAAATATCAGTTTACAATATAACAGACAGGTATAATAATAGTCTTATTCTAGCCTACGTGAGTATCAACAGTTTTAATTCCACACTTTGGCGTCGTCGAGATATTCCGAAATGGTATTATATGCTTTAATAAATAGTTGATTTTTAATATTACATTTAAATTGGTCAAGCGGCAGACTTAATATCGACTGTGGGATTTTATTATACATGCGCACACTTTGCCCCATGAATGACCTATTTACTTTTATTCTTATTATTCTAGAAATGGTATGCATTACGTGTTAAAAATTTAAGAAAATATTTATTTTCCTTCTGTAACATACTTCGTAATCTACAAATGGACATTATCGGCTGCGATTGCGTTGTCTGAGAAATATCGGCGATAAGGCAATTCTGTGAGCCAGTACGGCCAAAAATACAATTGATAAGATGATCTTTGCGGAGCGATTTGTTTTTTTTTTTTCTTCATTATAAGTAATTCGTTACAAGTTCCTTTTATAGGTAAAGTGATTGTGTAAAAGGTCCTAGATTGACATAGATTATGACTTTGACGATAACAATAAGACTTATTTCGTTTTTATCGCAATAGTCCTTGCTTTTATCTCATGAGCTATCAGTGCATGCTAATATACAACAAATCGCTATCTGGTGTATTTCTTTAACACTGCCAGTCTGGTTTAGCTGATGGTAATAGAAAATTATAAAAAGTTAGATTGTGGTTGGTATAGTTAATAAAAGGCCATAGATTTATTACGACTACATACGTGTTTTTTATTTGAAAATTGGACCCCGTGGCCCTACTCTGACGCAAATTAATGAAACTATTGACCCATGCAGTCGTTATGTGAACTATTTTCTGTGGGATGATTAATCGTATCCGACAAAAGCAATAACTAACACCGGATCCATTACAAAGGTCACCCATCTCAGTTTGCAGAATCCGGTAATGCTGCTCGCGGTATCAGATGGGAAAAACACGTGCAAAATAAGCTGCTTTTAATTGTTAATATTATGTTGTTTAACAGCTAACATACGATGTTTTAAATGGGCAAACGAACGAAAGGATCTTCTTTTTTTTTTGTCCTTAACAAGGTAAATTTTAAGATTGTTTGTGTTTTGAAATAGATAAGAAAAAAGAAAATTCGCAATTATGTAAACTGTTTATTTGAGATCAAAAGCGTGATTCACGACGTAAAAGTAGATATTTTTTTAATTTATCGAGTCTCGAAATGTTATATGTAATATTTTTTTAAACCTACACTTTATAATCTTTATTTTAAAAAGAAAGACATCACTTTTTTTTCGGCTGCCCTTATCCCACCTAGGTGGGATCGGCACAACATAATATGACTCATGTTGTTAATGTTATTGGCTAGGTTTTTTAAGATCGGCCGCCCGCTTGACTTCAATTTACCTTGAGAACAAACACCCAGATCCGGTACAATTATCTATATATAGGTCACGGAAATACTTGTCCCCGTAAAGGAAACTAACCCACAACCCCCGGCGGCAATGGCTTAGTAACAACGCCACTGAGTCATCGGGTTCAATTCTAATTAAGTCTATTTATTCCTAATGAGAATTAATGCCTAATTATTATTACATTCTTTAGAAAAGAAAACATGCTTGTACATTTATTAAATCCACAATTAAAATAGTGTATTGTATTATAGGAAAAAGTCTAAAGCTATCGTTAATTATATAAGTATTGTGAACTATGGGTGTATGTATAATGCATTGTTCACGCTGAACATATCATTACCAGACTTAATATTTCTTGATGTATTGGTCTAGTTCTTTATACATGTGCATTTTATTAATTTTCTCAATCATTCAGACTCTTTCGAGGCGCGCGTGCAAGCGTACTTGTTTATTGTTTAAACAATACAAATTGTGTTGTAGAATTCGTGTAAAAAATACAATTAAAATGATTAACGATCAATTTACAATTACCTATTTAAATAACAATTAAATTTTCAATAAAAAAATAATGCAATAAATTTAAATAGTTCACTAAACTGTAAGACAAATAAAAATACAGGTCACACAAATGAAATTGTGTCAAAAAATGTTCCGATGACGGCGATAACTTTAACATATCTTCGTCTTCGACAAGCATTAAACAAGTTTTATCGCGCGAGTCTTAACGCTATCGTGTCATATACATTTTTATGTTACTGTAACATATGTTTATCAGTTATTGAATCATAATATTGGAATTCGACTACCGGTTCATACCGACAGAAACTAGACTAAACATTTCGACGTAATAATTCCATTCGGATTTATGTGGGTGTCCGTGTTCAATAATTATTTGTTAGTTATCTTTAAAAAAAATAAACAATCGACTGCGTGAAAAGCGCTTATATAATCATTAAACATTCAACGCGGATGTTTGAAGCCCTCTCAATAATCTCAATTCTGTATTAAAAATTGCACCTACCTACACGACTATGCGTAATTAGTTCCAATTTAATTAGATGTCAAATCACCTTTACGAAATTCATTTTATAGAAATGTGTGTTATACATTAATGTATTAAATTCAGAATGTGAAGTCTGCACTTGTACTAAAAGTTCCGTACTATCACTAAGTAGTTAGGAACTGTAGAATTCGATAAGATTAAAACTTATCGAACACTCCTCTTTGTAAGAAACTAAAGCAGAAGGCGTTTTATAAAAAATATTCTTGCCTGTTAATCTTCAAGTCAAATACTCGGAGACATATAAGTTGCATAAACCTCTCCCTAGTAATAAAAGTAAAGGCTAAAATAAATGAATACTAAAATATTACTTACCAGCTGGCAGCCCTCGAAATTTACTACTAGTCGTAAAAGATCGGCGTAAAAATTCAAAGGAGACACATAAGGGGTTATTCACACTTCAAATGTGTATTTTATTACGTATATTGGGATGTAATAGTTTAAAATAATAAAATCAAGAACATCCTGTGTATATATTTCCTACTGCCGCGTAAAGGGTTGTTTTGATGCTGATAGTACTAAGTATACAGTAGCTTCGGCTGGTACTAAAGGACATGCCTGACCGGACAGAAGACAGACGTAAAGTCTCGTCTGGTGAGCGGTGCGATCAGAGCCACCCTTTTAAAGGTTGACAACGCATTTCCACGATTTTGAAGATGTGCATGGGCTCCAAACACTCAAGATCAGGTGAACACTCACATAAAGAAATGATACTATTAAACAATATTTTGTAAACCGCACCGCACTCAATCATTAGCCGGGAGGATGGGCACGAGTCATTCCTAAGCATGTCACGATCGTATTGGGTAAACGTTCGACGGGGCGCCTTCGCAACTTGCTTAGTTTCGAACGCTATCTGGATTCAAATGTGAAAGGAATCCAGACTTGTAATTGCAACTACGCCATACCTATTAGGCATAATGTTCTTTTTGGTGAAGCAATTAAAGTTACGTCTCCCCAATCAAAACCATTTGAGAAGACTTTGAACAATGATTTAATGCTTTGGAAATGGCAATGTATTTTTAAGAGGGTAATCTATACCTTGTGAATCAAAGGACTTATTTGTTATACCGACTAATTTGAATAGATCTTCGTGTTTCTATCGAATTGAAATAGCAAATTTTTATCGAGTAATAACTAGTAAATAAATTGTCTACTAGACTAATGAGTTACTTACACTATATCTAATTCAGCCGAAATAATTGAACAAAGTACGGACACACTTACATATGCACTTTTAAATGGGTAGGTACTAGCGTCATGAGACGTTTATATCTTCACTAATATTAAATAAGATACAATTTTTTGTATGCGATAAAAATTTATGAACTGATTAGGATATTTATTAACTAATAAAATGCATATTATACTTGAACAAAGCGTAAGTTCCCCATAATAAACCTTTATATTTATAGATCTAGTTAAAAGAACTAGTGATCGTCCAGCGGTCGAAATTTGACCATAATTAATTACACACGGTAGGGTGTGTTCTTTATTGATTTAATGTAGTTTTATGTATAATTAAACAAAATATTATGTGGGAAATTTCATACTCTCTGTCCGCGAAATTTTCGTAAGAAGGGGCACAAAGTTATTGCTCCACGTATTAATATATAGATGGATACATCCACCATCGTTCTGTCATTGCAAGATAAAATATCAAAGTGCATGTCATTTACATTTCACAAGTTTTAATATAAAATATTCAACACCACCTATATTTGTTTGCCCGTGCAAAGCCGAGGCAAGCATGCCGTACTCGACATAAAGAACAAATACACAATCCACAGTGAATATACATAATAAACGATTTCTAAAGTAAACCTCTTTCTCGCAGTCGATGATCCAGCTGAAAGAGAGGAAGGAGATGGACGAGGCGTTCAAGAAGGCGCAGAAGCCGTGGGCGAAGCTGCTGCAGAAGGTGGAGCGCACCAGGCTCGAGTACCACACCGCCTGCAAGCAGGAGAGGACGGCGCAGAACCAGGAGAGGAACGCCAGCGGAGATAGTTCGCTGAGTCCCGACCAGGTCAGTTCTAATATTATAGACGCGAAAGTTTGCATGTATGGTTGGATGTATGGTTGGATGTTTGTTACTCTTTCACGCAAATACTACTGTATGGGTTCTAATGAAACTTTACAATAATATAGCTTATACATCAGAATAAAACATTGGCTATAATTTATGTACATATTGTATGTATGTATATCTGTCTTTCTGTCTGAATGTTACGCCTTCAGCCCATTCTACGCAGACGTAGTCGCGGGCAGCAGCTAGTATACATTTAAATGCCCAAAACCTGCCTATTAACTGGTTTAAGAAATTCATTAAAGGAAAATTTTATCGTTATATTAAAAAAATCAGTTGTATAATATTTTAATTAAAAAAAAATAACAAAAAAGAGGATACCTACGGAGTTTCTTTCGCCTGTTTCTTCTCCGCTAGAGGAACCTCATTACGAATCGGTGGTAGATTTAAAAAAAAATATGACTATCGATAGATGAAATGTAAGTTTCTTATGTCGATGAATAAATGATTTTGATCTTTTTTTTATTTTTGATCCATTGGCTGATATCGCCAATCCAATGTACAATGCCCCGACATTACAGAAATTGTGTATACTAGTAAGGATCCCATTATTTTGGTGATATATAACGTGTCATACTTATTTGTAATGGTCCAATTATATAACCTTTCGCGGTGACTCCGCGAACCCTACGTAAAAGCTAAACGGATCTAAAAATTTGTTGAAAAATTAAAGAAAAGTTCTTCGGGAGTATTTGAACCTGTTTCGTCCAAGTTACACGCCCCACGCTCTATCCACTGAGTTAAGTGAACAGAATAATAGCGTTATAAAAATTATTATAATTTAAAAGCTAAACGGGTCATTTATGAGAAAAAATTGTTACTGTTACGCATATACCATATCAGGATTGCTATGCGTGAATGTTATAATGAAGCCGTGAAAGTTTTTTCCTGAGTTCGTCAATTTCGTGTAGGTCGTATGACTCCTTGCTTCTTAGCACGTCTGCACATGACTCAACAATTCCACCTCTCTAGCCCGAAACTGATTTTCTCATATTTGTGTTGCATGATCGGTTCTGACCCGGATTCCATAGTTATGATTAACTTAGATCGATGTTAGAGCGATCGTGCTTCGTGGCGGTCTGTGTGTTGTTCAGCATTGGACTCAAACAGGCTGAAATGATGACGACGATGATAGTCTTAATAGTGGTTCATGTGAGCCTAGTACAATATTTCAAGTTCACTTTGACTTATTTATCGCCGATTTAAAAGACTTTTTGCTTAATAATAAATATAACAGAAGTCTAGTATAAAACACTCGTCGCTAAACATGAACTAAACAGACTTTAACGTGTAACGTCTTGCAAACTCATCACCAATTCGCCAATGCTTCATCAGTATTCAATATTTAAAACGTTAACTGCTTCTGTTTGTCTTATGACAACAGATTGTCTTATAAAGGTTTCTTTCATGTAAAAAAAAAGTATGGGATGTCATTGCATACACTGCTACGTGTAAGTAGCATCTGTTGTATGAATGAATCAACTTATCCAGGGAAATACGAAACACTATACTGAATACGAACTACTATACTGACAGAAGAGAAACGATATGCGTACCTTCGCATTTCGTCTATGGTAACTGTGGACCCTTCCTCTTAAAGGGTGGTAACCCCATTGCAACTCCAACGATGTTTTATGGGTATGTTTGTCTACGTGTGGTGGTAATCGCATCAACATCGCGTGAACCATCAGCTACTTTCCATAAAACGAATCTTTACATCACAAAAATACTTATCCCTCGTACCACTGAATTATCTTCAGTTGCAAACCAGACACCTCCGTTTAAATTGTTAATTTGTGGGTTCCCTATTGCATGCGCACAGCGCAAAGACAATACTTTAAGAGTGTAATATGCAGAAGAGGTCTAGCTTAATGGAGTATGCGACTAAAGAGTTTCTTTTACTAAAGTCAATTTCGCGTCAGTAGGAGTAGCGGTAACTACGTCGACGTTCATCCTCGGAGGGTTGTAAACGGCTAGTTTACAGTTTTATGAACCCTCGAAACGGTCGAGCGAGTTCTCAGCTCGTAACTTAATCAATTGAACTTTAAATGAGTTTCTGGTAGGATAGCCTCTCTATACCATTGCTTTGTCCATTGCAAAAACTTTTTCAGTGTTGGCAACGCATCTGCAACTCCACAGGTTTTGTGGTTGAACATTTAACAGTGACCGTTATCACTTACCATCTGATGAACCACCTTGATTGCAAACTCACAATAAACAGCAACTATTATCCAAAAGATTCTACTTTAATTGGCGAGCCAATCGCTTAAATTTCCCCATAAACGTGTGTTTGCATGAAAGCAGAGCCTTAAATCATCGCTTCTATCGGAGCCCCCTACAAAAATACGTCGCGAGTGCAGGCATGAACAAACCTCATCAGTAACATTACACAGTTTACTGAATTCCAACACATTTCAACTGATATAAAAAAACTTAAACGCTTATTGCTTTAATTAAAATATGGTTGAAATTCGACGTAAAACTTCTACGAAGGTTCTGTAACAACAAACCAGCCGTTATAGCTCAGTCACCGAGCACTCACTTTTAATTCATTATACTCGAGCAACCCGAGTTCATATTCCGGTGCTAGCAGCGATGATTTTTTCCGAAATAATTAGAAAGAAAGAAGAAATAATTATTTGGCGCATTACGTAACAGGAAAAAATATGCCTTAATACCCTCTATACACAGGAGGTCTTTACCCATTAGAAGGACATTTATAGGCTGATACCGTACTTTACTACTAGCAGCTATGTTCGTGTCAATGCAGCGTTGGGTGTTGTCTGAACTGGCAATGTAAGGTCTTGTTCCCTATTAAAAGCGGTCACCTGAACTCACCGGCTCTTATATTTCCTCTCCCCAGGGACGGAGTGTCGAACGGTCAATAAAAGCTTGTTAGCAATGGTAAATGCACGTTTTACGTCTGCACCGGCGGTTGAGATGGGTCTTTATTGCGTTCCATCTTGTACCAGCTCGATTCGTTCCCTTTTCCCTAAATTTTTATGACTGTCGTGACAAAGTTAACCAAAAATGAGATACATTTAGACTACAAGGAAAAATAAGGTTTAATTAGAGGTTCATTCAATTTAATATTTGAATCGTAGCACTTATAATGGCTATTTTAGATAACATTTTTTATTTGAATTTCTCGATAAGAAGGTAGATTATATTCTGGAGTAACATATATATTTTTTTCTATTAAGGAACTATCTTGAAATCTACTGCTATTTCATCTGATGATAATAGCGATGCAACTGTAGATAGTAAACCTGCTAGTTCAGTAATGCTCGCCGCCCATGAGACATTTGCAACACCCGCAGGATTTCAGATGCGTTGCCACCTTTTAATAAAGTGGGCACCGGATGTCTAATTCACCAGATGACACGCAGAGGAGTATAACACTGCCACTTCACATAAGTACTTTCCCGGACGGACCAGTCTATTCGGACGACAGCGAAGAATGTTGCATGACCTTACCACATTCAAAAACGTACAACGTGACATCATAACTAATTATCGATCGATTAGAACTGTACATTAGAAACCGTGGGCGAAAGCTATCCAAACTGTCATCTGGTAACGCAAGTGAGATGCTCGAAACGCGTCCTCGGATACGCCCCGCATCAACACGGACGTATTGCCCGGTATCGATCCGACGACCCGGCGGGTTCTTTGACCACTCGACCCATTTCCAATCGGAAACCAGCCAGCCCGATGAACCGTTTAGATTCAGACTATTCAAACATTAACTGTATGCCTCAAGTACAACGTAATTATCGCTTAACTGAACATTTCTGTTGTGAACGAACTGTTAGAGTCGTTATGTTTTGTCAGATCTGTATTTAGATCTTCTATACAATAGACAGTTGTTGGTACACGGACGTTTTAACATCTTAATATATCGTCTAATATTGTTTTAGCTGCGAGTTTTAGAAAGTGGCTTTATATTTTATTTTAAATAAATTTTATGTGTTTCTTTGGGTAAGGTATAATCACTTTAACATACAAACTATTTTTAGTTCCTAATTCACGTTAAACATCTTTCCGCTACATGTTCGTTATGAAGTATAGTGTACAAATAGATCATGTTCCCTGTATGAACAAATTATGTCTGGTGGAAAGGTAGTCAACACGACATTTAAAATTATGCACCCATTACGAAAGCCGCAGCCGATTGTTTTAAATACAACCAATGGTTTAAAATATTTCATGATAAGGACTTACAGAAGTAAACTAATAATTAATTAATATATGTAATGAAACTAAGTCCGTTCGATTTGTGTACCGAAAAGGGAATAATGAAACATCGATACAGATTTACATTTCGCATTCGCCAATGACGTCAGTGCCAAATAAAGGAAAGTCCACGCAGCATTTCTATTCAGCAATTAGCCGATATGCTAGGGATGTAACAGACGTCTTGATGAATACTATTTTTATTTTTTTTATCTCGAAATCGTTTGGAGTTTTGAGCTGTTCTTTTCTTATATATACGCCATTGTTCTATATTCTCGTATTGTATCGATGTTTGAAAGGAGTTTCTTTAGTATTTTATGTATCTGTTGACATATACGAAACGATATTTGGATTATCCTTGCCATATTGCGTGTAAAAATATCACCAACAGTGATATCTGCAAATGTCGTTTTCGATACTGGCTAACAGTAACCGTGAAAGCGGTGCATTCGAGACGATGTTTAAGAAAAACTCGGATTTTAAAAATACAACCCGTGTTCCATTCATACTTTGAATTCCTCGGCGTCTTACCTTACCACCTATACCTTACTTAGCTTACCTCGTATACCTCGGGGCACAGGTCGCAGCTGATCGGATGTCACGTGCCATAACGGTGTGCCCTACCGATGATATCACATAGCGTTGCAATTCGAAACGCTTCTTGTATAGCCGCACTCAGATACTTCAATTAACTTAGCTACCAT